CCAAAAACATGGATAAAAGAGACATAAAGGGAGAGGGGTGTCCCTCCCCTATGCAAGCGGAGTTTAACAAACGTCTTGTAGTACAATATCTCCGAGGTGCTTCCCCGATTGATGAGGACGGGCTCAACTGTGAATCTATTCACGCATAGCTCGATGACGAGGGGATTAACGTGGAGGAAAGTTCCTCCATCTAAGTCGGTGTCATCGAAGCTAATCCTCCAAGTTTGATGGGGTCGTTTGGCTGGTGTGATTGGTTTGGACAGGCTAGGCTGCAACTGAATTGTATGTACCTCGACTGACGACGGTAGGCTATATATCATGTGAATTACACCAAGTGGAGGTGAATCTAGCTGTAAGGCCATCATGTTTGATGGATTGTTCTTTCGGACGTGTTGCACTAGCCGGCCATCTTGTACCAATACCTCCAAATGGTCCTTCAGTGCGTAATAGCTGTCAGTATCATGGCCATGGTCCTTGTGATATTCGCACTGCTTATCCCTTCTCCTTGTATGAGGAGGCCCCATCATTTTAGACGGCCATTTAAAGAATGGAAGATGTTGGATTTTGGAAAAGATCTTATTGATCGGCTCTGCCAGTTCCGTATACTTCTTCTCCGAATGTCTTGTGCGCTTGCTATCCACTTGATATTGTTCGTTTGATCGGTGCGAACACTGATCGCTTGAACGACACAAATCATGCCTTTTGTCTCGTTTAGCCCGAGTCTGAGGTTCGAGGCTCCTTGATGGCACAACAGTTATCGGCTGGGTGAGAACAGATGGAGCCAACTTAACAACCTTTTGTCCAGCCTTGACCTGTAGGGCATCGTCTTTCACCTTACAATATTCTTTAACTTTCTTCATTAGTGCCCAAAGTGTTTTGGGGGGCCGCCTAGTCAACGAACTGTGGAAAGGACTATCAGGATGTAATCCCATTTTAAAGGCGGTAATGGCCATGGAATCATTGCAGGCATCATCCACCAGGTTGAAACATTCCCAATAGCGAGCCAAATACTCACGGAGGGTCTCTTCTGGTTTAATTTGCATTGCCCAGAAAGAGTCGGCCTGCTTTGGCTAAACTTCGTTAGTGATGAATCTTGCCCTAAAGAATTTTTGGAGTTGATGAAAGCTTTTTATTGACGCTGGCTCCAATTTATAGTACCATCTAACGGCCAACGGTCCCAGGCTACTTGGAAACATTTGACACATGAGGGTTTCATCATCAGCATGCAACGTCATCGCTTACTTATAATGACGAATATGGTCAGTGGGATCTGATTTTCTATCATATAAGGTGAACATCAGTGCTTTGAACTTTTTACGCAGCACAACCCTTACGATGCGTCGTACAAAAGGGTCATGCCTGTCTTCTTCATCTAAATCTTCATGTCCTTTACCTCGCCAGTGCCGTGCGTACGGACTTTCTTCAGGTGAGCTGGAAAGATCAACTCGTCCCTTCTTCCTGGGTTCCTAGGATGGTGAGTCAGAATCACTACTATTATCATGTTTCTGAAGTCGATGTCGTCAATCATCCTTCTTTCCTGGGGATCGACCCTAGTCACGACATGCGGCCTGTTGGGATTTGGCTAGCTCCAAGGCCAATTCTTGGCGCAAGCACTCGTTTTTAGCCATCATATCTTCTAGATGCTGTTCATTTCGCTTTGCTTGATCCATGATTGTCTACACAGTCTCTTGCACAGAAGTTGAGGGTGAGGTCTGAGCTACTGGGTCGAAGTTTAGGACCTGTCGCGCGGTGATATTCTTCGGTCCAAGCATGTTTCTTGGAGTGATGTCATCTATTGGCGTAATATCGTCAGCAACTACCGAAGGGTCATCCGTTACGCCTGCCATGGATGCACTTGAGTATTCCCATAGACGGCGCCAATTGTGGTTATGTGGTTTAGAAATACTCCAGGATCTAGTCAGACGTCTTTGATCCTCTGATTACTACCTGAAAAAGGGATGAACACTCCGATCGGGAGTGCCGAAATTAGCACTCCGACGTTCAAGTTAGTATTCTCTCAAGTTTACTTCTATGTCAAATTATTTCGTCTATTCTCACATACCTTTTTTTGGTTGACATTCCTCTTTTTGGTTGACATTCCTCTTCTTTTACTACATTTGGGCCCAAGGGTCGGGCCCGCTCTTAATCTCGCACATAGTTGCTTACTCGGCTGTCCAGTTATGTGTTGGTTCCTACTCAGCTCCTTATACGGCCGATTCGTATATTCGGCTTCATGAGCCTCTAGTCAAGGCCGAATTGTCCTTGGCCTAATGTCGATCAAATTTCTTGGCCTTTCTTAATTAATTTTATTCGGCCCCCACAAATATGATTAGTGAGACCTATATATGTGCTAATTAGGGGCTTAGTTCATATCATTGAGCTCATTTCTCACCTCTTGGCTGAGTCTATACGCTTTAGAGAGCGAAAACACTTGATTTAGAGAGAGAGAGAGAGAGAGACCAAATTCTTAGAGAATTGACTTCAAGGTTGAAGAATTTGGAAGCTAGGCTCAAGAATTTGATAAAGTTAGAAGGATTAAAAGCTCTAAGTGAGTATTTGGACTCTGATTTGTAAGTTAAAGTTCATGAATATGTGTATTCAAGAAGAATTGGTGAATTGTTGTAGAATACAAACTTAATATGAAGAATTTGGTGCCAAAGCTCATGCATGCATACTTTTGTTAGGCCACATGATTTTGACAATCATTTCTACCATTTGAAATGGTGTTAGAGTCTATATTACACATGCATGCATAATCCATGTAGTTGTGAAGCTTGGTTGCATGTGTTTTGAAGTTGTCAAGAAGAATATGAAATGATTTGAGAATTGGATCATGGTTTTGGACAATTGGTTTCAAATTCCCTATGTTCTCATGTTATATAATGTCTTTCCATCATTTTGTACCAAAAACACGAGCTTTAGACCTTTGAACATCAAGTTTGAGCTTCAAACACAGTTCTGGAATTTCTAGAATTCATCATGTCCGCTTGAGCGGGAAAAGTGTCGCTCGAGCGTAAAAATCAAGCTCCTAGAAGTTTTGCAGACATTGATGTTCGCTCGAGCGAGAAGAATTGCGCTTGAGTGCCCACTCACATGTTTTGACTCTTGGCTTGAGCGACCAAAGTCACGCTTGAGCTCAAAAATGAGGCAACCAGTACTTTTGCAGACCAAAGGGGTCCACTCGAACAAGAAAAGCTGCGCTCGAGCGGAGAGCCCTATTTTAGAAATTTTAAAAAGTTGGTCTATGTTTCGTTTTCCGTTCTCTTTCATTTCTAAGCACTCTTAGGAATGCATTGAACATTGTAAATGAATTAAAGGACACGAAAGAAGCCTAAGACCATTAAGAAAACTAAAGAATGGATTGAATGGTATTATGACCCAATGTGCTATGAATTTTGTAGGGTCAAGTGCAAGGGGGAATCAAGCACCGGAACACTGTGAGTAATATCTTAGCAAAGATATTTTTGTATACGCATTATTTTCTAAATGATGCCTATGTGGTAAGGTTCTAAACTTTTGAAGTGATATTATAAAAGAATATTCTAATCACTTAATTCAGAATGGAATATGCAAAGTGATCGACGTATGGGTATGAAATGGGCCTAAGGTCATTCAGTATATTTAGTAAGGATGTGGATTGGGCCCAAGGCCGTTCTGTATAATTGTTAAATGAGCCAAAAGCCGTTCGGGATAAGGAATTGAATGGACCTAAGGTCGTTTTGGGTACAAGAATGAATATGTATATGACCATGGACTTAAATGTGTGCACACAAATGTGTATATGAATTGGACGTAAGGTCATTTTGTGTGTGTTGGACCTAAGGTCGTTCTATATGTAATGGACCCAAGGTGGTTCTGTGTGTATTGGACCTAAGGTCCTTCTATGTGTAATAGACCCAAGGTCGTTCTGTGTGTAAGTTGGACCCAAGGTCGTAATGTGTTATATGGACCTGAGGTCGTTTTGTGTTTGAGAAATGATAGAAAAGGACCTGAGGTCATTTTGCTTTGTTAATGATTTCCAAGCATAATAGTGAATTATGATTGTAAGAATTTTGTTCATGAATTCCTTTGCTTTGGTATTATTCACTGGGCTCACTCCTTATTTAAATGCATATAGGTGAGCAACGGGGTGTCTAGCCTCAACCACAGTGAGCAATGAGAAACTAAGTTTTGAGGAGTCAACCAAGGTCGCCTCACGCAAGAGGCCTTACTTTTGCTTTGCTTTTCCTTTTGTTCTTTTGTGGTCATGTATGACCAACCCTATGTTTGACCTTGGTTTTTGTTAATACGGGCTTGAATGATCCTAGACTTATGTAATACATACATAATATGGATGTTTGTATAGTGTGAGCTATTTCATATATGAGAATGTTTTGGTAGAGCCACGTATGCACAGCTCATTGGACAATCTTTATAAATTTTGCTTCCGTAATTTGGCCCCCTATTATTAAATATGCTTTGATTTCTGACTGAGGCCACAGGTAATCTCATGATTACTGGCTGGTTATGACTCTAATCCATAGAGGCGGGTTTGGATCATGACAGAGTGGTATCAGAGAACGAGTAATAACTCACACACTTGTCCAAATGAGCAATAGAGTGTCTGGAAAAGATCTAAGTTGTGTTCATATGATAAGTATATTGTAAAATGCATTGAGAACTTGCTAAGTGGATTGAAGTATGCAATTATATCATATAACTGTTGCCTAGTTGTATAAATGTACTCTTCTGTACATGAATATTGTGTATACTTTTTGTATGAATTATAATGCAATTGTTATTAGATAATAGTGAGAACAAGAGCTGATCAGCTAGAAGAATCATCCACTACTCGGCTAAACCGAATGGAGAGAATGATGCAAGATACGGCAGAAACACTAAGGTAACTACAGTGGTGGCAACAACAATGGCAACACCTGCAACCCCTACCTCCTATACAACCTATACCAGATTTGCCATATGATGACCAAACAATAGCCCTTACTAAAGAATTCAAGAAAATGAAGCCACCATCATTCCACAGGGATGTGGACCCGTTGAAGGCCGAAGCTTGGGTCCTTGGCATTGAGAAGTTATTTGAAGTATTCGCATGTCTGGAGACACAGAAAGTACAATTGGCCGCCTTTACACTGGAAGATGAAGCGAGAAGGTGGTGGATGCTAATCTGTGATGATAACAAGGTCATTGATTGGGTACAGTTTCTTGTACTCTTTTATGAGAAATATTTTCCACAGTGTGTCTGTGATAGAAAAGTGTCAGAATTTGAAGGACTGAAGCAAGACAACCTGATCGTAGCCGAGTATGAAGCCAAATTCACTGAATTGGCAAGATTAGCCCCATATATGGCTGATACCGACTATAAAAAGGCGAGGAAGTTTGAAAATGGTCTTTGCAATGACATTCTGGAAAGGGTGAATGTGTTGAAATTGCCCATTTATATTGATATGTTAGACCAAGCTTTAATGTTAGAAGCTAACATGGCCAACCGAGGTAAACCACCAGCCGATTGGAAGGCTAAAAGGCAAGGCTTTTTCTTAGGGAAGAAATCATCAAAGAAACAACACACGGGGTCCTCAAGCGCTTCAGGCTCCACCAGAAATACGGCACCAACATGTACCCAAATGTGGCAAGAAGCATCGCGGGGTTTGCTACCGTATCTCCAGGGCATGCTACAGATGTGGTGAAATGGGGCATATGGCAAGGGATTGCACCAAAACTGAACAGTAAAAAGGTAGGAAACCAGCCGTTAGTTCAGCCGGATCCATCCCAAAATACGGTGATACTACGAGGCCTGCTACTACCAGAGACACAATGAGACAGGGAAGAGTCTTTGCACTTGTCCCAGGTGACACACGAAATACTGAAGTCGTTTTCTCAGGTACTATCTCTATATGCAATCAGGATGCTTTTGTGTTAATTGACTCCGGATTAACACACCCCTTTGTAACTTATGCATTTGTAGCTAGATTGAGTAGACCTCTAGAATCATCGCCATATTTGTATCTGCTCCATCGGGGAATCCGTGTTGTGTACATCTGTATGTCGATTTTGTGATATATGTGTTGGGAATGCTACCTTGTACGTAGATTTCTTACCTTTGGACTTTAGACATTTTGATGTAATTCTGGGTATGGACTGGTTATCTAAATACTGTGCCACCATCGATTGTGTAACAAAACAAGTTGTATTTAGACCACCAGAGCAGGAAGAAATTGTATTTGTGGGTAATGGGGTAGTGACTTCACCTTATTTGATATCTGCAATGAAAGCATGTAAATTGATTAGGAAAGGGTGCCAGGGTTACTTATGTAGTGTATTATCTGAACAATCTACGAATGTTGAATTGAATAATATTTCTATTGTTTGAGAATTTTCGGATGTATTTCCTGATGAACTGCCAAGAGGATTGGTGGACAGAGAGATAGAGTTTACCATTGATGTTGTCGTGGGCACCCAACCTATCTCAAGACTTACTAGACAGTTGAAATGAAAGAATTGAAACAACAGTTGCAAGACTTACTAGACAAAGGGTTTATTTGACCAAGCACTTCGCCATGGGGCGCTCCCGTGTTGTTTGTAAAAAAGAAGAACGAAACCTTACGTTTGTGCATTGACTACCGGGAATTAAACAAGGTAACGGCCAAAAATAAATATCCATTACCCCGAATTGACGATTTGTTTGATCAGTTACAGGGTTCACAAGTCTTCTCAAAAATTGATTTGAGGTCAGGCTACCACCAGTTAAAGGTAAAGGCAGAAGATGTCGAGAAAACTGCATTTAGAACGAGGAATGGTCTTATGCCGTTTGGAGTGACCAACGCATCTGCAGTATTTATGGACCTTATGAACCGGATTTTCAAAGCTTATCTTGTTGAATTTGTTGTGGTTTTTATCAATGATATTCTGATATATTCAAAGAATAGATTTGAACACAAACAAAATCTGAGAACTATCTTGCAAACACTTAGAGAAAAGAAAATATTTGCTAAACTTACGAAATGTAAATTATGGTTGGATGAGGTTGTTTTCTTAGGGCATGTCATCAACAGAGATGGGATTTCAGTAGACCCACAGAAGATAGAGGCAATTGTAGACTAACCTACACCAACAAATGTAACAGAAATCCGCAATTTCATGGGCTTAGTTGGGTCCTACAGACGGTGTGTGAAGGATTTTTCAAAAATAGTTGTACCTCTTACCCAACTTACATGCAAGGGACAACCATTTGAATGGAATGATGAAACAGAATTTGTCTTTCAAGAACTGAAAACGAGACTAACCAATACACTAGTGTTGACATTGCCCACAGGTACAAAAAACTTTGTGATTTACAATTATGTGTCATATAAGGGTCTGGGTTATGTGTTAATGTAGGAAGGACGAGTAATTGCTTATGCCTCCCGACAATTAAGACCACATGATAAGAACTAACCAACACATGACTTGGAATTGGCCGCAATTGTATTTGTTTTAAAAATTTGGCGGCATTAGTATGGGGGAAAATGTGAAGTTTACATAGATCAATAGAGTTTGAAGTATTTCTTTACTCAAAAGAAGTTGAATATGCACCAGAGGAGATGGCTTGAACTAATAAAAGACTGTGACTTTCAGATTCAGTATCATCCTGGGAAAGCCAATATAGTGGTTGATGCCTTGAGCAAGAAATCGACGGGGAGTTTAGCTTGCTTACTGACTGAACAGAAGGAAATCTTGTAATATTTTGAGAACTCCAAAATTGAGGTAGTATTACTTGACCAAAGCAGAGGTAGCTTGCTTATTACATGACCAAAGCAGGTTGATGTTGACACCCCATTTTTGACCGTCCTCAAGACTTGGACGTCACCGTTTGAACGCTCGGTGATCATCCATGTTCGTGTTCGTTTTGAGTTCCCAGAGGCCTCGGCCGTGCGCCTTGTCTCAGGATCTCTTAACTTGCCTGTTCTGCGCTTGGTTTTGCACCAAGGACTTGTGTTTTGTGCTTCTGAGGGTGGGAAGAGGCTTGTTAGCCATCCCTGAAACCCACCGGCCGTGGCATGATGCCACCAGCCTTGTTTTTTTTTTCTATTGACCAAATGTTTGGTCGGTCGGTATTCTCTTAGGTGTATCGGCCTTTTTGTGTGGTCGGCCGACCATTCATTTGGCCGATTGACTCCTTTTCTGCCTGATACCTCCTTTTCGCCTATTTCAGGCATGGTGCATGCCAGTTGCGCCAGCTGGAGTGCACGGACTTGTCCTCCATACACGTGTATGGAGGATTTGCCCCTTTTGCACCCTTTTGTTCAAAGCTTCTTGGAGAAGCTTGCACCCTTTGCTCAAGCTTCTTGAGGAAGCTTGGACCTTTGTCTTAGCTTCCTCAAGAAGCTTGGACCTTTGAGTTAGCTTCCTTGAGAAGTTTGACCCCCTTGACCTTTTTGTATTAACTTCCCTTAGAAGCTTAGCACTTTGTCTTCCTCTATAAAAGGAAGCCTTCTTTCTCCTTTGAAGAGGTTCAACAAAATTAGATATATATGTGATGTATACACCACTCTCTCTCTATATCTCCCTCTCTCTCTTCATTTGTGTGTGTTAGAGGGCCTAAAAGGGTGTTTTGTTCTTAGTTTTGCACTAAAACACCTAGTATTACACCATACTTCGGTTTTGGAGGTGTTGAGAGTTTGTTCTTGGAGTTTTGAGTTGGTTTTTATCAGAAAAAGGGGGCTGGACTTGCTGTTCTTGAAGTGTTCTTCAAGGGTAAACGCTATTGCTTTATATTCCCCAATCTTGCACTAGCTTTTAACCTACTTTGCATGTTGTTTTGAGCTTAGTGTATAACTGATAAAAACTCTGATTTTTCATGCTTAAGATGTTTCATTAAGGTCTCTTTTGTGTTTGGGGTCGACCTCCTCCTCTTAGGCCTTGTTTGGCCCCTTTTGTGCCTTCTTTGGTTGAGCTTTGAATACTTTCGTGTGTTGGCCTTCTCACCACTGAAAATCAGATGGGGTTTTGAAGTCTTTCATAGGGGAGGGACACCCCTCTCCGTTTGTGTCTCATTTGTTCATGTTTTGGCTCATAAGGGTAGCATGCATGCTTAGTTTTGTTTGGTCTTGTTTTAGAGGTTATTTGGAGTTTATTTAGCATGTTTTACCTCTGTCCTGTGTTGGTTTATTGACCCCTTGCATGCATAATATACTTGCCTTGTATTCCTCCATTTTGCCTAGAAATGCATCTTGTCTTTAGACCTTCATGCTTGCATGTTCTAGCTTGACTTCATGAAGCTTTTGGTCATATTTCATCATGCTTAAGGTCTGTTGGGTGCTAATTTGATCATGTTTGCCATGTTTGGTATAGCCTCTTTGCATTTTGGCTTGTGAGCCTTGGGTGTGTGAGTCATTAGCTTGCATTACCTAGGCTATTTCAGTGATTTAGAATCACTTATTATGCCATTTGTCTTGCATAGGGGAGGGACACCCCTCTCCCTTTGTGTCTCATTTGTTCATGTTTTGGCTCATAAGGGTAGCATGCATGCTTAGTTTTGTTTGGTCTTGTTTCAGAGGTTATTTGGAGTTTATTTAGCATGTTTTACCTCTGTTCTATGTTGGTTTATTGACCCCTTGCATGCATAATATACTTGCCTTGCATTCCTCCATTTTGCCTAGAAATGCATCTTGCCTTTAGACCTTCATGTTTGCATGTTCTAGCTTAACTTCATGAAGCTTTTGGTCATATTTCATCATGCTTAAGGTCTGTTGGGTGCTGATTTGATCATGTTTGCCATGTTTGGTATAGCCTCTTTGCATTTTGGCTTGTGAGCCTCGAGTGTGTAAGTCATTAGCTTGCATTACCGAAGCTATTTCAGTGATTTGGAATCACTTATTATGCCATTTCAGTCCATGTTTTGTGCTTACATGCTTGCATTTGTTACCCTTTCAATGCCTTGAAGAGATGTGATCTTATGCTCCATGTTAGGGCCTTGGTGTATGCCTATGTGTTTGAGGCTTTGGGTTGCCATATCAGTGGGGTTTGGGGTGCATTTTGATGTATTATAACTCTGTTTTTCATCACATAATCCATGCCATGTTTGGTTGGGGTGGGTGTAGAGCAATGCTCCCTTTCGTGGCTTTGAATGCCCTTTGTTTTGGGCCCATTTCTTGGCATGTTTTGATCATGTTCTATGCATGCTTTAGTCTTGTTTTGGAGTTCCTTAGGCTTGTTTTAAGCCATTTTGGTCCTTTGGGGTTTGGTTAACATAACTATGGTTTGGACCCCTTTGTTGGCTTCAAGTTTTGGTCATTATTGCATGCCTTACTTGCATAACATGGTTGATTTACCATCATCCTCTATGCATTTTCAGAGTTTAACATGTTGGTCTAATGTCCATGTTTATCATCTTTTGAGTGTTCTTGAAAGTTACCTTTTGTGCCTTAGCTTTAGGCCCATTGGTGTGCATGTTTGCATGAGCATTTGTCCATCATTTGCAGCATCTTTGGCCACTGTTTATGGCAAGGCAGAGATCTGCCCTTTGCGGTTTAAGCCCACCATTGCATGTTTTGACATGTTGCATTACTTTGGCTTCATGCTTGCATTGTCTCATCTTTGCACGTTTGCATGTTGTTTAGCTAGTTGCATTCCATATCCTAGCTTGCATGATAGGTTGCAGTGCATTGTATCTTGAATGTTTGGCACATTGCACTTGGCATGTTTGTTA